GCAAGCCAGTGTATAAACATTTTGGTGAAATTGAGGGATTTTTTTTCTTTCAATTTTGCTGTTTCCAATAGCTATAAAAGTGCAGATAAAAATGCTTTCATAAAACACATACAATGTTTCCACAGCCTCATTTTCTATTGACTATAGTTGCTTTAACGTAAACAGTCATGTGACAGAAATGCAGAAGTAGCATACTATACTACTAAATAGCATACTTTTGTGCAGTTTCATTTGTAAAATAAAGTCGTATTTTACAGTAGCATCACACGTTTTGTATGTAAAATCGCTTTATGTAAAGCAGCCTATGTATATATTGAAGAACAAGTATGATTTCCCCCACTGAATCGTCGTTCAAGTTTGAAATGACATGAAATGGAAACACTTGAGCCAACGCTAATCCCCTATATCCAGCTCAGTCAAGGCATGTTCTATAAAACCTCACGTTATATCACATAGTCCACAAGGACATTCACTGAAACACACTTTACAAGAAATGAATGATCTCATTCAATTTAAGAGCGCTTGTCTCACATACAGTAACTCTGTAATGAACCACTGTAGATTTAAGAGTCATTAATTATGCCTGACTTTCATTACCCGACATGAAAAGGTTCCCAGGCTTTCAGCTCGCGACAACAGAGGGAAAGAAAGAGGGAATGCTTGTTATATATGGCAGGGGAAGGGATTAAACTGTGCATCAAATCCGCTTTGATGGCCCTTATCGGTGTAAGTGTACAGCGGGGGACAATATTGTGAGGCTCAGATCTGGATTTTTGGCTTTATTTGGCAATACAGACATCATAGTGTCAACATTTGCTGAGTGTGCGAGCATGTGTGTCTGTCATCTGACTGCACTTATTCATACAGTACATTATGCAGACTGGGGGAGCTAATTCCTCTTTGATATCAGCATGCCAGAGTCCTGATGCGAAACAGTCCGTGCGGTTTCCTCGAGTGGCTAAAGAGGGAGGCCAGCGGTTCCTGCTCCTCCTCCGAGGTTTGACTGCGTGGATGTGAACTTTAACGTCAAGGTCAAACGGGCCCCCTGACACCCACAAACGCACTAAAACCTCAGGAAAATAACTGTCAGTGCAAGCGAAAATACCCCGTCAGAGCCTGGATTAGAAACGCTCTCTGACATCTCAATGCACGGATGTTCACGAAATGATTCTGACAAGTGTTTGAAGCTTCGCCCTGTGTTGATATTTACTGACCTTTTGAGTTTCCTAGCATCAAAACCTCAACTTTTTCTAAATGACAGCTGACATAATTGACTTAAATACTGATCAGACTTAGTTTTATGCTTTTTAATATGTCTCAAGGCATATGTCCTTAAATCTGTCCCTTTCTTAGATTGTTTTCAACCTGTTTGCTCGCTTCAATGTAGTCAGTCAACTCTTATTACTGTCTTTTTGCACTTCACCCCCCCGGAGCTGGCCTGTCACTTTAACAGGGTAGGCGGTAGTGTGGCACGTTAACTCAGACCTTCTGCTGAAGATGTTTGAGTCTTTATCGGCGGTGCTCAGGCGTTACGTCTTTGTGCGGAATGGCAGGAAAAACACAAAATGTACTCGTGCTAATTACTCAGTTGTTCCGCGCATTTTATACGAGCCGCAGACAAAAACTAGCCGTATCGCTTCGGTTGGACGCTGGATGATTGCTTTCCAGGAAACAGCTGACAGATGTTGAGGACGGTAATGTTTTCTTCAGCGACCTGTACGGGCCCTTGTATTTCTTGGCAGTGGAAAGTAGCATCACAGAAAGATGATAAAAAAAAAAAAGAAATATGTCATTACTTTCCTTGCAATTCTAAAACCCTCGTATTTGTTCTATTTGTGTCCACCTCCACATAATCTAACCTCATGCCAAACAAGGGACCACATGCACAAGCATCACTGAGCCCTGCACATCCCTGGTCCCCGAGTTGCCGTTCTTTCTTGTGGCGTGTACGTCCAATCGCGGTGACTGTATCGCAGCGCGCACGCATGGCCGGCCCACTCCTTTGCTCATTAAAAACTTCCCCTGCAGTAATCATCAGTAGCAGCACTAACAACAGCGAGCACAAAAGGCAGGTTGAGGTGAACTCGGGTCCATGTGAAAGCTGCTGGACTCCGGCCCCCCCGCCGCGCTGCTGTCTCTTGATGTGATTGTGAGCACAGGCGGGCGTCCGCGAAGGTTCAAGGCCAGAATAGGCGCCACGCCGAGCCTGTGTCCTCGGTGTCACTCTCAGCGACGGCCAGACCTCGCAGCCCGCTGCGACTGAAAGCCAGCGAGAAGTCCGGTTTGAGCCAAGCTCCTTCAGTTTTCTTAATACTCTGACAATAACAGACTACAGGGAGCTTTTCCCATTAACCTTTTCCAAATTATATAATACGACCAGCAGAGAGGAGAACAATCCAGAACTTTTGAAAGGGCTCACATTCATAAATGGTCTGTACCTCATTAATGAAAAAACAGAGAAATTGTTCCTACTGATATAGATGTTGGGTGCCTTTTAAATACTTTACTGAAGCTCAGGTGAAATTAAAATTCTTGCCGGATTTGTGAAAGAAAACTAAATTTTAATTCAGTTTTTTCGGGCTGAAACTTTTGGACTTCCCCATGACTGTGGAATCAGTGGCTGATTGAGATTTCTGAGCCGCTATTGCCAGAAAACAAAGTGAAAACTCCTCCTGCTATTGACTACAGAGCTATATACAAACCCCAATTCCAATGAAGTCGGGCCGTTGTGTAAAACATTTTTTTTTTTTTGTTTAAATTGCAAATCTTTTTCAACCTATATTCAATCAAATACGCTACAAAGACAAGATATTGAATGTTCAAACTGATAATCTTTTTTTTTAGTTCTTCAAATATTTACTCATTTTGAATTTGATGCCAAAAAAGCAGGGACAAGGGCAACAAAAGAGTGGGAATGCTCAAAAAACACCTGTTTGGAACGTTCCACAGGTGAACAGATTAATTGGAAACAGACGAGTGTCATGATTGGGTACAAAAGGAGCCTCCTCAAAAGGCTCAGTTGTTCACAAGCAAGAATGGGGTGAAGTTCACCACTTTGTGATCAAACAAAAAAAAAAGTTTCTCAACATACAATTGCAAGGAGTGTAGGGATTCCATCATCTATAGTCCATAATATCATCAAAAGACTCAGACAATCTAAAGAAATCTCTGAATGTAATGGGCAAGGCTGAAGATCAACATTGAATGCCTGCGACCTTCGATCCCTCAGGCGGCGCTGCTTTAAAAACCGACATAACTCTGCAAATAATATTGCCAGGTGGGCTCAGGAACACTTGGGAAAACCATTGTCAGTTAACCCTGACATTGCATGTCATTTCATGTCAAATATTCAGCTCATTTACATTTAAAGTTACATAAAAGCAGTAGACAGTATATTTCTACAAGAGACATACAATACAAATTTACGTGTAATCTCAGTATGAAATCTGTTTTTCTTTGGAGGAACATCAGGCAGGTGCTTGTGCGCTGATCGGCGTCTGTCATACAGGTTTCAAATCTCGGTGGGCAGCAGCCACATCAGAGTGTCGGTGGACTGTCAAAAAGTTTTTATCAGCCCTGTCCGTCTCTCTACCAGCCCGCTCTGTGAGCCTGTCATTCAGGGTGCAAGATAAACTTCATTGATCCCTCACTGGGGGGAAATTCACAATGAGAGCATGAGAGTGTGTTGCTGTTCATGTGTATTCGGCCCACACAAACCTGCCCTGACCTCTCAAACTGCTGTTAAGGCTTTGAAACGGCTGATGTCATTGGGCCCATTCCTGGCTGCTAGACTTCCTGCATTAACTTTAGTGCCTGCTGATGATATCAGTCTGAACCAAAAAGCTACAGCCCCCCTGAGAATGATAATGTACAGTCTCTAAACCTGCAGAGAAATACATCAAATCCGTGCACCGACTTGCAAATCTGTAAAAGTCAAAACACTTAGCATGGCACATACAGTCGTCCTCAGATTTATTCATACCCTCCCATTTAATTCTGTTGTACTTTGTGTAAGATGACAATAAAAGCATTCTATTCTATTCTCCTAATGTATCCTTAAAGTGAAAGCATCTTCTGACTGTAAATGCCATGACACTGCTGCTGGCTAACATTAAGGTTCCTGTGTGGAGGGTTGGTTTTTTTTTTGATGTTTAATTAGCATGTTGTGTTGCCGTGGCGGCGGGCCGCGGCCAGCATGTTGCTCGGTGTCGCCTTCACAGCCACATCCTCTAAACAGACAGCAGAGACACGCAGATCAAAGCCCCAGAAGGGGAGGCGGAGTGAAGGGAGAGAAGGGGTGAGGGAGGGAGGCGAAGGATTCAGCACGTGGCTGAGATAACACTCAGTGGGAGAAACCTCCTCCCCCCCTCCTCCCTCTGCTCCTGCTTACTCACCCCTGACATAGCAGAAATGTGCAGATAAAAGAGACTTCTGAAGTGATGTGGGAGGGAATACGAGTTGATATATGAAGGAAGAAAAAAAAAAATAAAATGCTGCGCTCACATTGCGGCAAAAACACACTTTGCCATTACAGTCAGCATTATGGGATGTCAGTCAAATGCAATGGTGAGAATCCTCTTCTTGTCTAAGGAGAGGGCTCAGTATTTGTCTGGAGACTGAACCACCACAGGAGGAAGCCAGTGGTAAGCATTTTTCTTTTAAAACAACACATTTTTGGGGAGCCGTGTACCCAGAATGAATAGAAATAGTGTTAAGAAAGAAAAGAGCAAAGAGGGAGAGGTGTGGAGGGTGTAAATGTTACCTTGAGTCTGGAGGGAAGAGGTAGAGTGACCAGGTATCTCTCTGTCGACACCACTCGGGCTGTTTTTTCGCCAGCCAGCGGGACAGCCTGGCTAAGCGACCCTGCACAGAGGAACAGCAGCAGTGGATTCATCGATCATATGAAGAAAGTTCTTTGCATGTTGCATGAGCCACAGTGATGTTCCACAGATAGAAGTTTTTTGAAATTTCTTTTCATGAAAGTGGGCTTATGAACATATGCATCTATAAACAAATACAATTATTATTATTATTATTAGTAGTAGTAGTAGTAGTAGTAGTATACAAATGCCCCTAACCCCAACCGTCTAGTTTGAAAGGCCTTTTTCTTTTCTTAAAAAAAGTCAAAAGACATCGTTTCATCATAGTCAGAAACTTTAAAAACAGAACTGTCAAATTACGAGCTTTTTGACAGTCTGTGAATGCATCATGCTTGACATGTTTCTTGAGGAACAACAATCGAAAAAAAAATTTTAACATTGTGACAGTTCATTGAAAACCTTTTAATTTTAAAATTTTCAATCAAAATATGGCACAAACAAACTATTTGTACTGAATCTTAGGTAAAAAAAAATCTGCGCTTCTCATCACAACTGAGTAGCCCTGACTGACCCAGCGAACGGTCATGTGACAAAAATGAGACTGTTAGGCCAAATTGCAGGATGTGCTTACATAGAGTAGAAGAGGACGACAAAAAAATAAATAAAAAGCTGGGAGAGAAAATGAAAAAACTATAAAATGATAGATAAAGCTTGCCTCAAAAACAATATATGGGGGAGCAGGTTGTTGGAGATACATCTAGCATGGTGAAATATTGTTTGACAGTTGTTATGCACGGTGATGTGAAAAGGATCTAGTTTGTAGATGTTGTAAAAACTTAAATCAAACTAGTGAAATAGTCTAATTATAGCAGGTGGAACAACCATTTATTCAATATTGGTAAGACCTGTGGCAACATGACAACACATTTCCCACAACTTTTGTAAAGCAAAATATCAAAGAAATATTTTTTTTTCTTTTTGTAGGATTTAATTCATTATAATTTATGTAAAATACATACTGTAAAATACTAAACAGAAGACATGTTTGAGTTCTCATGGTCGAGCTGTTTCCATAGAGGTGCAGGACTTTATATTGCAGTGAAAAGAGCCCACAATGAGTAAAAATGTGACTGGAGGGGGAAAAAAACACCCCAAACTGTTTGGCATTCTGAGGGTTAATACAGAATTTAATTTGGACAAGAGTTAGAGAATAGGCTGCCTGCTTTCCCTGCTCCTTTTCACTTTAGCAAAAGAGAGGATTAGCAAAGATTCTATATTGATGTTATAGGTATCAGTGCAGGTAGACATCCATGTATGGAAAACAATTTGCAGCCATCGTCTATTGCATTTCCCTGATGAATGATCCACGTGACTTTTGTTTAAAATTGTTGTGAATCTGGAATCTAAACTCTAGTGACAATTCATCTTGTATTCGTAAAGACAGAAGAACAAGCCCACGTGCAAAACACACACTGACCAGGTTGACCTCCTCCTCTGCAGTCTCGTCTTCGGTGTTCTCCTCCAGTGAGACGTGTGTGGGGCCCAGGACCGACGAGGATCCCTTCCCATCGCAGTCACTGTGATCTGGGGGCCGCAGGTGGCCCAGGGAGGGAGGTCTGGAGCTGTGCATGCTGGCTGAGCGGTGCAGGTAGGGCACCTACATGGGGTAAAAACAGGTGAAAGAAAATCAAATATCATTGACAGGTAATGAAAGCGCAGGTTTGTTCGTGATAAATGACTTTGAGTCAGGTTGTGATCAGTGCCAATGTGACCTAGTTAACGTATATTGTGCTCTGAATTAGATTTACGAGGCCATCTGAACTATCTAACATCATTTAACTCTCATTTTAATTGTGTATGTTAGTCAAAGAGGTTATTATAGTTCTACTCTCCAGTGCCGCATTTGTTCTGCGTTGGATGCTGCGTGAGTTCATTCTGCTTGGAGCTATCACCTGGGATCACACTGTTCTCACTGCATTAAAATTAAACCTCTATTTTAAGATAAGCACTATATGTTACGACTGCGAAGTGTGAAGGATCTTGAAACTGTGGAGGTTTTTTATTTGAACAGTTTCCACTCCCATCGTGCTCCCAGGCAGGTATCATACTTCCAACAGACCCTAGTAATTATAGTTGGACGTCTACCTGCAGCAGAGCATCAGGAGGCAAATCCATCGAGCTCCGAGTCTCCACTGACTCCATCCTCCTGTGTCGGGGTCCCCTCTGCGACTGGGACATGGAGTCAGTCCTGGCTAAGGAAGCGTCGTCTTCCTCCATCAGCCCGTCTCCCCCTTCTCCTCCGCCTTCCCCCTCTTCTGAGCTGGAGCCGCCTTCCCCGGACAGGAGCGACCGCCGCTCCCCGGACTGTCGCTTCTGGCGTTTGTGCGATGGGACACGACCCAGGCTGTTCCAGCTGGATCTACGGCTGGTCCAGCCGCTGCCAGAGTTCCACGGGGCATAGGGGGAAGCACTGCGGGCACTGGTCTGGAGCAGGAGGGTGGCAAGAGGAGGACATAGTGGTTAAAACGGAGGAGACACAAAATAAATTACAAGAGGAACTGCATGATAGATGTGTTGATTTTGTGTCTTAGCCTTCTGGTTACGTCAAATGACTCAGCTTTGCGTGAGGTGAATTCAACTGAGATTCACGCTGATGGAAAGACGGGAACAGATGTAGCGATCTGGACTTATTCTCTCTGGTCTTCATCCTGATCATCAGTTTGTCAAATAAAGAGTGGCAGTGGCAGCAGTAAGGCGAGTGTCGGACCGGCACACCCCATTAATCATCATCAATCATTATGACCTCCACACATCAGCAGAACACGTACAATAAATTCAGACAGACACTCTGGTGAAAGCCAAGTGGCAGCGGGGGTAATTCCGCTTATCCCCTTACAAGTGTGCTGGCTTTGGAACACGACGGGACCTGGAACAGGGTGGCAGGTAAGATTAATAATAAATACACTAACCGGTGATTTGTCGTAGCAAGCCGGATCTATGGAGACGCTGCTGCCTCGACGGGACTCATAGCCCAGGATGGGGTCACCTCCCACGGGTAGCTTGGGTATAGGCATGGGGGTGGCAGCAGTGTGGGTAATTAGTGGTGGAGTCAGGCTTGTTTTCAGGTCCACATGACCATTTACAGGCACTACTAGAAAAGGAAAGAGCAAAGAAGAAGCAAAAATGTAGGTAGGTTAGGGGAGGGTAAGAGCAAAGGCAATCAGCGTTAGGAGATGACAAGACAGGAGAGTGACAGAGGTGAGACATGGAAGTGACAGAACAAAAACAAAAACTGATGAGGGATTCATCATAGCGATAATACGAATAGAAACCTGAGAAACAGTAGGAGGAAGTGGTGCACGAGGAGGAGTGTGACAGAGGTACACCCTCAGTAAGGCACGACTTAAAAATGGATGCCTCATACTGTTATTGAGCACCATGAATATTTCAGCAGGGCATTAATCTTATGGGATGCGTGGGAGAGAATATTATGTTTGGCAGCAACACAAATACATGACATGCGGAGGGGAATGCAACTTTAATAACGCTAATTCCTCCGTCTTCCAACCTTTATCCGAGGCCTAGAAGATGTATATTAGGCTCTTCCAGCTATGTAAGCAGTTTTATACAGAGCATCTGAACGGGCTGAAGGGGAGATGATACCGTTCATCTGGGAGTTGTACTCCATACAGTAGTGTTTCCAGCGGGCTTTTCAGTCTGCAGTAATTAGAGGGGATGGGAGCTGGCGCGTGAGGAATTATGGATGGAGCTGCTGTACTGGTTTGAAGCTGAGCAGGGAGACAGCCAGCCACGTGCCCGCCGAGTGTGGTCCGCAAACCAAGAGGGAAAAGGCCGGAGACCACAGACGTAGAACAGGTGGGGAGGAATGTTTTCTCAGGGCGTGCTTTAAATGCCTTTGGCCTAACTTGGTGCACTATCACAAACGTTTACATACATTTTTTAAAGAAATGCAACACAGTGCGCAATCTAGAGGGATCTAACAAAGATTAGGGAGGCAAAATGCCAGCAGTTAACTGTGCAAACACAGATGGTACAAGTTTGCAAAGTGCCTCTAATGCAGGGTTTTTACGGGAAAAAAATAAAAAAATCACAGAGGGTTGAGTTTAATCCTTGTTGTAGGATCAGTACGTGCTGCCTGTAACCGTGCTGTATGTACAGTGTATGCACGTGCCTCACCTGCAGAGGCTGATAAGTCCTTCTTGCTGCCGTTAACATCCTCCATGCTTCGTGCGCAGGAATCAATCTCCGAACCTGTTTTAGAAGCGTCACCCTTGACACATAAAACACACACACAAAGTGTTAGAGAGAAACACCTGTGAAAATATGCGGTACTGAGCAGAGCTAAGAGAAAGCAGGTGGGATGAAGTTGCCTCTAAACACAGATCCCTGTTCAGCTATATCTACCTTCACATCAGCTCTGATTTAGATCTGACCGTGGATCAGTCACTAGAGGCAACCTCTCTGTCTCTTAGCAGGTAGGTGAAGGTGTGGTCTCCCTGATCCCATATTCAGTGTTCATTGGAGAGAGGGTGAAAAAGATCAACTAAAATTTTGCCATGCAAGGAGAAGTGTTCACAGAAAAAAAAAAAAAAAAAAAACACACTGAAACGCAGAGAGTATAAACGCATCTTGGAACTTTTCTGGGAGAACCTGAGTTCACAGTTCTGTTCACTTGCTGTAAACAGCTACAGAAGAGCTTCAGCGTGGTTGCTAGGTATACATTTTTCACACTCGCACACAAACACATGCCAAATGTACTCCGCTGTAGCATATGGCAATACGGTAGAATCAGCAACCCAGTTTGACTTTTGTCAGAACAGCAGAGCAGTTTATGCTTTGTTTTGTTCTCTATTATTGTTCCAGCCAGCGATGTGAAAATGAGTGTATCGCACATTTACATATCTTTCTACTTACTATCTTTCACAGACTTTTCACAAGCTCCTAATTACTCTTTTCTAGCCTCTGCTTCACGCTGTTTTCTACTTATAAACCCACTGCAGTGAACCTCAGAGTTGCTGCTTGTATTTGTTGCGCTACGGCGGAGTCTGCAGACTCCATTAATATGTGCAAGGGTGCCAGGTGGATGCTGGATTAATAGAATGCCGACCCAGTGAGTCAGACCTCTGTGGTAGCAAAGTGAATAAACTGTGTGCAGAAAAGCCTCAGGACCTAATCACCATGCACCTCCTTTTGAACTAACAAATTACTTTCTTGATACTTCCCATGAGTATTAGAGAAGACAAAGTGGGTATGGATATATTGCATATTGTATTTGTTTACTGCAGGCGTGTTGTGTATGCTATCTTTGAGACAGCAATTAGCATTTTTCCCCTGCAGTTAAAGCCACTGTTTGTGTGCCGTAGACTGATTTCCACCAACCTGTGAAGTATGGGACAATTGAGCAAGGAGTGTTGGATGTTAATGAACAAGCAGGCCAATCAACACAAGGGCTACTTGGAGTTTTCCACGGATGCTAATCACATTCCTACATCTACTTATGTATCCCAGTGGCTCGCTCCTGTTTTACAGTCTTGGCTCACAGCAGGAAACATGAAGCACCTGGAGCTACCTTGTAGTCACAGAAGCAGTAATCTAGAAGTTGTCATTGAGTAGCAGCAGTAGTTTTAACGACTGTTCCATCAATTTCTCACATAATATGATGTGGTTCAAACATCCATTTCAGAACCAGGTTTATTTTTCCCGTATGGGTTTCTCCTGAGGCACATCATTTAGACATGGCATCTGTTTTCTCCATTACGTCGACGACACCCAGTTGTATATTTTTGTCTGGCCTAGCACATTGGTATATAAAAGTTACCCATCTACTAGTTTCCTTGCCTTTGGCAAGAAATCTTGGCATTTTGTTCGTAACTAAATGTAGATTTGAACACCATACCACAATTACCTTTAAAGCTTGTCCTGGGTTTGTGCCTTGTAATATCTCTGATTTATTAGTATCCAATCCCAACAACCAATTCTTAAACAACTAAACTATATTCCCAAGGGATATTTTACACAGTAGGAAAGTCCTCCACTGAAACAGCCACAAAGTCTGGAGATGGAGGTATTGCAGAGGGGTGGCAGCACAAGTGAGCAACAGGAGTTTCATTCAGAAGAACAGGGTTCATGTTCTTTATTATTCTTGGACCTAAGTTCTGTTTTTCCTCATTGCTGCTTGGTTAGGTTTAGATACCAAAACTAAATTGTTAGATGTAATTTCACAATACCACTTGCTCTAAGATTGGTTAAGTAGAGGCACCAAAACTACTCAGTTAGGTTTAGGAGAACAGACAGTTTGGGGTAAAATACTATCCTTTCCAACATGTGGTGCCAGGGTGATGAATCCCAACCCATCTTTTATATGGTTGACTGGCCCAAAACTCCTGAGTCCCGTCTTAAAACCAGAGCAGCAAAGCATTTGAAGACAATTATACTTTGTAATTTTTCAATTTCTTTTGACTTTTCTGGCTTTTTTGAGCTGTGCCATCACTGGATGAGCTGGTTGGGAGATTTCTGCTCTGCTTCTTTTTTTTTTTTTTTTGCTGTGTTTTTGTCACTGTGAATTAGCAGCACTTCTACTGAATGGTGTCCAGAAAAATAACTGGCATCCTTGCATTAATCAGAGGAGTACATGCAGAGGAGTAGGGGGAAAAAAAATCAACAAAGAGAAGACATAGGTTGTTTCTCACTTCTACCGTTATTGACAACGTGAGACCAATGGATGAATAGATGGACGAGCTAGCAGCCCTGATGAGGCATTCAGATTTTGAAAACCGTACCCAAAGTGTCGTAGGACTGTTTCTCCTTTCGCTACGCTCTAGAAATGTTTAAGCATAAACTACAGACAAATATTCACACATCCACCAACACACGGACACACTGATAACCAAACACACAGCCAACACCCACAACAATTTATCACCAGACATAAATTAGAAAAAAGAAAAAATCTGATTTAACCCCTGCAAGAGTTCCTCTCCCACAGGGCTCATCCACCTACATGCAATCAATCAGAAAGGACAGCAGCGATAGGACAAAGCCAGTGGAGCATCAGCACTGGGAATGGTGGCTGCTCAGCCTTATCTCCTCTATGTCTCTCACAGGTAAGAAGGAGAGGCAGGTGCTTTTCGTCTTGGTTTCATTTCCTGCTGAGTCGTGGTCAGCTCGGTTAGGACCTGTGTCTGCAGCCTCTGGTCACTGTAAAGGTCAGTATGACAGTGTGTGTGTGTGTGTACTCACGGAAAAATCAAAGCTAGGTCAGGGGTTTTGTTGTGAGGGCCGTGTACTAAATGCATAAAAACCAGACGTGGCAGGGCCAAGTAAAAAGCGACGGAACAACCTGACCCTCACCTCTGTTTTCTGAGCGACGTGGACAAAAGAAGGCTTAAAGGAATTGCCTCAGGTTTTGAAAAATGGACGGTTTCAGCAGCTCACCTACTGAGAACAAGCGATGCACATCATCATCTAAGATCCCTCTGTAGCCTGCACTGGATACATGCTCCGGTTCCTAATGCTAAGGCCTGTTACGTTTAAAAAATATGTCAAACAAGCACAATGTTAAGGTGTGTTCAGACAAAATGCAACTTAAAACTTAAAAGGGCTATGTTTGCATATAGAATCAATGAAAATACAGCAAGCAGGCATGGATTTTGCACTGATTCTTGGGCTTTAATTCGGGTTCTTTTATTACAAAGACAAAAGGAAATTGGAGGACTCGTGCTCCTGTGGCCTGTACAACAAAACAAGTTCAGAACTTGTAATGTTGCTGCGGTTGTTGGGTTTAGTGAAGCCAGATCATGAAAAAAATGTCATTATCTAAACCTAACAACTGCAGTCACACTAAATGGTCACATGAAGCTGTTTAACAACTCGGCAAGTCATATATTATACGTGCTTTCACATAAAAGAGAATGTGTTAGTACCAGATCACAAACGTAGACCCACCTACAGCTGCATTCTCAAGCGGGGTATAATGATCTAAAAACATAATACAGGCTAAAAGTAACACTGTTATAAATGGCTTGCGGTGAACAGGGGAGGGAAAAAAATTGAATATTTGCTTTGTCACTGAACACACCTTATAGTCTATATATTGTCCAGAATTTGTACATTCATTTTTAATTTTGCTCAATTGCAACGCTGTTCTGGTAGAAATAGTAAATACTGCATCAATGTGTAGCAGATAAACTGAAGGTATTACTTCATGTTCTTATGTAATAACCTTAAAGGTATTTCCCTTTAAGGAAATACTGCTGTTAATCTCTCATTTACATAATAAAAAAGTCTTCAGTAACTGCTTTGACAAACCTGACATGATCAGACAGTCTGATCTGCTGTATTCTTGTATTCTCCATTTCATCCTCATCTATGTGCAGCAGTACTTTAACCTCTGATAGATCTACAGGTGCCGCTATCAGGTCAACACAGACCGACATGATTAAACCGCACAGTTCTGACCCACCATGTCAAAAGACCGAGCTGACCTAAAACTCTGCTCAGCCCTAATCCTCTGATTGTCACACTGCAATTTTAGAAACCCGCAGTCAACTGGCTGCTGAGATGAGGAGCAGAAGTCGATAAAACTACATCAGACTGCGAGGGAGAGATTCATCCAGCACAGACCTGATTTTGATCTGCCAAATTTCCTCCTTGCTCCCTCCGTTGCAGTCCTCTCTCACATCGTTTTCTTTCTCTCTCTCTCTGTCGTGTCTTTCTGCATCTTCTTCTCAGTGTCTTTCTTTCCTCTGTCTTTTTCCCCTCCATTCCCTCTCCAATATGTACAACTTCCTCACTGGCAGATATTAATTCGTAATTCGGCTGTCAAACCTTCTGAGAGAAGATACAGCTAGAATATATTAAAAAACCTTCACTTTTCAGCTGCAGTTTAAAAAAGAAGAGACATTTGGAATCTTGGTGTTTTTTGACGATATCGTTGGTTTGAAGCAGATGTTCTTCTTAAGCAATAGACAATAGAGGCTTCGTTGGGGAAAGGGAAGGTGGAGATAATAGCTCTGAACCAAGGACGAAGCGCTGGACTCCGGGGAAATCCCGGCTCCTGAAATAGTTGTTTGGATAGCTTGTTTACACTCTGCCACCCCAATTTGGGCATGGTAGTGGGAGCAGGAGATGGGCTAGACCAGGCCTGCTGCTGATAGCCAGACAATAATAGACACCAGCAGCACACGGGCATCTCAATTACATCGCTTCAAAAAGGGTGTAAATGGGAGACGGAGGGCTGCTGTTGATAGGAGGAAGCGGTGTAATTGTTTCTATGTGTGTGTGTCCACCAGAATTGTGGCCTACCACTGCTGCATTAGAAACTCACGAGTCCAGAATTGGATTTACTTGTGCCAGCTCGAAAACTAACACCAAGGCCTTCATGACAACCACAACAATAAAGCCACCTATGGAAGCCCAGGCATGCAAATATTCATCAAATTTAATTTTTCCATCTGTTTGTGTGTGATCTAAGATGAACTTTAAAAATCGAAATATCATGTTAAAAAAAAAATAAAAATATATATATATATATCATTGAATTACAGCCAGAACGAGAATGAAACTGACAAATCATTTTACATTTACAAAGCACAACACTGTCATAGCTAATCCTTTTCAATCTGTTTTCTGAAGTTAAAAATCACAACTATTAGTTGCGTATGTTAGCTGATTTGGAATGATGTAATGCTGATGTTTATTGGATATATCGTTTACCATATTAAACATCTATTTCATCACGTTAATGCTAATTCATGCTAATCTGCCAGTTAGCAATAAAAGCTAAAGTTCAGGCTGATGGTAATATGATAAGTTTTGCAGTTAATCGTGTTGCAGATATTTGGTAATCAATCAAAAACTAACACAAATTCTAAATTAAACCTGATGACAGTGCTCGATGAATAGCAACACGATCCCCTTGCCATGCAGCTTATGAACGCTAATACTAGATTTAATCAAAATGCATTCAACAGCTATAGAAATATTTAACTCCAAATCTCTCTTGGTGAAATATTTCAGTACAACAAGTGTTGACTGAGGAGTTCTAACTAATGTCGTCACTGCCGTAAAGATAAACTGGCTGTTAACATTTGTACTGGTAAATAGTGTGCAAAACACAATTAATGTAGAAATGGATTTCCATAGATGGCTTGTACCGGAGTTCAAAGAAAGTGCAAGGTGCTATGGATTTCACATTTCTATCCCTTTTTCGCAATGTTACGTTTATTAACAGAGCTAACTAATATTTATCAGGTTCTCCCAAAATGTTCCAAAATCAGCATTTGCTACTTTCATGCAACAGTTTTGGTAAACACAGTATTTATGGCTGAAATGCTATCAGAAGCTTCAGTTTATTATTTTAAATGGAAAACAAAATTAAGAGTTCAAGACAGATGATCCCTCCACGACGTAACCCATAGGTTTCCTGAGCAGTGGTTTTGAAGGGTGATGGCTCTGGCTGTGGCCATCTTCGCAGTGCCCGATTCCTCCTAATGGTGCAGGATCTGTCATTTCAACCCATTCAATGTCTATGTAGGCAGCCATGCAATGCATTCTGGTAGTGACTGGTAGTGAGAGGCGTCCTGTAGTCACTCCTTATTTGCATAAAGTTAAGGTCTAGGCTACTTTATGCAAATCAGGGGCATCTGGAAACTCCAGAAAAAAACTTTTAAACTAACCGTTGTTGATCCAAAATGACAGATTCAGCAACTGCATAGCTCAAATGTTTTTTTTGAAATGCAAAAAAAAAAAAAAAAAACATTGTGAACTGTTTTCATTATGCCAGAGAAAGTTTCCCAAGGAGCCGCCATGTTGGTTCGACTTGAATTCCAAGAGCAGACAGTCCATGAGTGGAGCATTTGTCCAATTGGGTGCAGTCAGTGTTTGCGTAGCTGTAGAAGGCGTAGCCTGTTAAAGTTTGGTGTTGGAGGGGAGGGACCCCTCGCGTACCTGTGGACATGGACCATGACTCCTGGCAAATGCAAAAAATTAGTAAAGAGGTGGAGTGTGAGTGAAGTGGAGGCGGGACATGCAACGTCTCTGGGTCATGGACTGTCCTATACCGGTACTCACCTGTCACTCAAAGCAGCCACACCCTCGACTATGCATAGCTTTAAGCCCAAATGTAATTTTAATAGAGCAGCAATATATAAACTAATCCCCCGTCCAATTGTCATACATGCTCAAATTAGTGACCAAAAATGTTGTTTGTACCAGGCTGTAAACATGTTATTTTCTGCTGTAAAGTTGGATGTTTAAACATGGGGGTCTATGGGGAGTTTGAAGCCAGCCTAAAGAGGCCATTTCAAGAACTGCAATTCCTAGGACTTCCACAGTGCCTTCATTTTTCAGCTCTGGAGGTTGCTGCTTGGAGCCATCCTGACACAACCAAGGAATGACTGCAACTCTTGCAGACTGTGCTTGTATAGCTGAAAGTAGCACCTGATAGAATAAACAATCTGTAAGAAATGTTACCATATGCTTACGTTATTCAGATGGCAATTACAATTGTTGAGCGATGATGCACTTTTGTTAAACACGTGTATATAGGCCGACGATATATATACAAGATACACTGACAACGGCAACGGAGAAACGTAAAACTCTAATAACAGGTCTGACTATTAGACCAGTCCAGCAGACTCCACTCAAAACCATGTGTCGAGCTCAGGGGCCAGCACCAGTGGACAGTTTGAAAGAATCTCAGAACAATCTGGAACTTCTGGACGTTTGAAAAAGCCCTGGATCTGTTTGTTTAGCATTCAGGAGTGTAAAATTAGAGGGCACAAGGAGAAGACTGAAAACCATCTGTTGTTCAAAGCAGGACCTTTAAATTTATTAGCTCTCATCCTCTAGTCCGGCTGGACTTATCTGGCAGTATCGGGCCCACCCAAAAAGCCCCACACTCACATCACCCCCTTCTCATCCCCCCTCTCTTCTTGACATCATCCTCTGGCCAGATAAAACAAGAGACTGAGAGAAGGAGATTTTTTGGCAGCACCAGTGCAGCACTCTTACCCAGAGGCTGGAAGGGAAAAAAAAAAAAGCGAAGGGTGGAGGGCTGGTGGGAGGTGAGCATTTGACGTGAATTTTGATGTGGAGTCTGCTCTTAAGAGACAAAGCAAGAAAGTATACACACACACACACATGCATGCACACACACACACACACACAGCAAAGTGATGCAAGTGTTTAAGCACTTTGTCGGTCACCTAAACTCCTCTGAGCAGTCGTTCAGTCAGTCTCAGCAGCGAGGGCATCATGCAGGAAGCAGGTTAGAGGACTTTCAGATGATGTGACACATCCTCTGGCAGCTACATTGGAGGTCTTTTGCTTTTTGTAACACGGGTGACTGTGCGTAGCTTTACTACGCAGTTTATTCCTGTATTATATTTATCAGAGATTGCTTATTTGGTGGTGACGAAAGCAGTCACAGTTCAACATGGTTATCTTGTTAACATGTTTGGAACTATGTGACAGGGTCAGAAAACTTAAATTACTAAAAGAAGAAACACTGCAGGTAAAGGTTTTGTTAGTGGTATTGTATGCTTTTTAGTTTTGGCGTAGGGGACAGTCAATTTGTGGGTTTTTAATTTTGATTAAGACTGCATGTAAAGGTTTGCCACTATGACATTACCTATTCGTTTAATGACTACTGTTTGAGTTTGGTATTTGGCAGTTGGCACGTTTTGAAACCAGATGTAACAAGCAAGCAGCGTATCTGACTAGAGAACTTCACACATTGATACGGTTGTAGCCTGTCAATTGCAACATGGTCCTACCTTAAAGCATCCCCTGATTTATCATCTATTTTAGTATAAAGTTACAAACACCTTGCTGCGTTGAAGGTGACTTGAAACCAAAGACTAAGACCATAAACTCATGAGGAAAATGTTTACTTGAGGTAACAGTTTAAGTGAGAAATCAGGTGATTTTCTCGTAGATTTCTGTACAGTCAGACTTCTTTTTAACCACCCGAGCAGTCGCCCCCTGCTGGCTGTTAGAAAGAATGCAGGTTTAAGGCATTCCTGCATTGGGTTGACTTTATACACCCGAAGGCAGAGGAACAAGTGAGAAGAGGTGTTATACTATGCAGTGTACAGTTTGAGAAAAGTAACGTACTGTTGGAACATTGAACCCTGTAAAAATATATTCTAGTGCAGTGGTTCTCACCAGGGGGGCGCGGCCCACTTGGGGGACTCAGAGAGCTGCCAAGGGGTCTTGAGATGGCTGTGAAAATGTCATTGTACACTGGTGGGCCTTGGCAGCAAAAAGGTTGAGAACCCCTGTTCTGGTGGACCCCAAAAATAAAACTACAAACTAATAAATGTGCATAATGTGGGCTCTTTAATTTGACCTTATATTATCCTCAGACATAAACTTGTCTTTGAATCAAACTGGTCTAAACTACAACCTTGTTAAATCTATCTTACACGTGAGATTTGGTTTTTCGACTAATTTTTGTCTGTCATTAGTGGCTTATGACACAGAATTTTACACTAATTAATGTAAACATTTCTTACCAAATGTCTTTTTTAGGATAAGCAGCCTTCTTATCAAAGAACCAGTTGCTCATCTTTTGTCCCTACTCATAATTCACCCAAGAGTTTAATGTCCACTTAAGTCTTGGAAAAGTTCCCACTTCAGTACTCTGTGGGATTGGATTGGCAGTAAGGAAGATCTCTAAACATCTGTGAGTAAAACATAAACTATATTGGTATGCCTTAAATAGAAAATAGGTCACTTTTGAATTTTGTTAAAATCTCGGACAACTCTACCAGCAAGAGTTAATTGCGAGATGTGTATTATCTTCTACATTAATGTCTCTGATAAAGCTGTTTAATGAGCAAAATTATACCAAAAAGCAAATGTTAGTACAGGAAAACTGCCATTCTGTCATTACTGGGCAGTACTTTTGCAATAGAACTCCAAGCTGTAGCTGCTGAGAGCTCTATGGCATCACTGCAAAGTCTCTGTAGGGGAGGATGAGGAGAAGGGGTGGAGAGGAAGGGCTGAGGGGGAGGATGGGGCGAGGCGGTTAGTCAATTAAATGGAGGGAGGGAAGGCAGAGCTGCAGTGCTGTACATACCCCTGAGTCTACAGGCAGCTGAATTAGGCTCAGCTGGGCATGCAAGTCCTCCCGCTTGGACACTTCCTATTAGTGGAAGTGATCGGTGCAGCCGGACAGGAGAGGGAGGCGCACACAGGAAAAGAGGCACAGAGGTGAGAGGTGGAACCACAGCAGTAGACAAGAGCAGAAGTAGAACGTTAAAAAAAGAGGTCCAGCCTGTTGGAACATTTGAACTTGACCATGCAACAGAACATATCAAAGCAACTGTCCTGGATCACAGTGTGCAGTCGTGCGCTGCACATGTGCACTTCAGCAACCTGAATTAGTTTGAAAGCATGAAAAGTCAGGACAGCAAAGAGAAGAAGTGAAGCACAGCCATGTTTCACCCTAAACCTGCTTTTTTTTTTCTTTCCAGAAAGCAGATATGAAAATGATCCTGACATATACATTTAACAACTGCGGTACAGTGCAGCTATGCATCGTTCAGGACAATTTGTGCTCAGCATGAAAGCATTCCTCTGCATCATACAAGTGCATGTGTGTGCTTCGGTGTGAAATGTATGTTTACTGTCACAGTGAGAGGTGCAATATAAAGGATGAACAACTTTTGTCTCGCTTCTGTTAAAAGGTCTCCATAAAGAGACAAATCGGTGTGGTTGCACTCTCGGCAGCGGATATTGGATTCTGTCACATGGACACACTGTCACAACCCAACAAAGAGACTCAATAAGAAGAAATGTAGATAACACGAGAGAAGAAAAATAGTATGGGGGGTGATGTATAGGATGGGAGAGGGAGTTAAATCAAACAAATAATAGCAGAGGAAGAAAAAAAAGAAAAGGAGAAGGTGATTTCCCCTCTGCCTTTGTTTCTACAGCAATACAGACATGAGAAGCAAGTGTGTGTGTGTGTGTGTGTGTGTGGTGGCTCCGCAGTCGTACATCTCTCCTGGCTTGGCTCACGTCATTCAAGCGTTGGTTACCTAGCAACCCTGACGCAGGGAAAGTTTGGCCGACTAAAAATAAACTTAGTGTTTGCAGAAATGGATGTAAAGTTGGAAAAAAAAAATGGAGAGGGAGAATTAAGCCGACAGCTCTGTGATAATAAAAGAGGGCAGACAGGGAGAACAGAACCACGGGGGTCCCACGTTTGGGCCTGTGAGCGTATGTGAGAGAGTGTATTTGTGTTTGTTCTGTAAAGATTTCTTTGTCTTTTCCTTCTGTAGTCAAGTCATCGTCTATACACATTCGCTAAATTGCATTGAAATCCAACTGAAATCTGAATTCTCAACTTTTTTATGTTTGGGAATGTGAACTATAAGTGAGGCGGTTGGCGCCAAAGTGGCCCAAACCATGTTTACGAGTTCTAGAGAAAAATGGGGTGAAAATTTTGAGTTGCTAAAAAAAAAAAATCATTAAAGGAGTCACTATATGCATCCAAAGATGTTTCAACACTGTCCAGAGATAGAAACAGCTACTCTGTGATGACTTATTTAAGTTTTCATTTTGCTTTCCTTTTGCTGAGTGCCAAAGTGGGCCGTACCACATTTTCTACTTTTTGAGAAAAAAACTGATTCAAGGTTTGTCTCGCTAAACAACATTGAAACGTATACGTGGGTCATCATAAGGAACTAGAGATACTTTTGAGGACCATGGGGTAGAAATAGATGCTTGGTGGTGGTTAATCAAGTTTTTAATTTACCTTACCGTACCTACGAGTTGAGTTTTCACAGGGCTTGAGGTCGCGCTGTCCACCATCTTGAATCGAAAATGTGTGCAAGTACCTGCACCTGCAATATAATGGTCAGCAATTCCTGTGACTTGGCCCAGTTTGCCACTAAATTTTCATGCCAAAACCATTATGGGCCAAACTTCAAAGTCGCATTGTGACATTACTAGCGGGCTGTTGGTTGGATCACTTTCCCTTTCACTTGCCCACAAGCTAATTGACCATAAACACTTATCAAAAAAACATAAAACTCAACTTTGGATTTTTTTTGGTTTGGCCCACTTTGGCACTGAACCCCTCAAGTATTCCATAGCATGGTGTTAACATAATATTAGTTATCAACTGCTAACAACAGAAATCGTCAGTTTGTTGTGCTGTAAAACATATATTATTAAAAGTGATGAATATTTAGGCAGGAACAAAAACAAATACTGACATATGATAATTTTTTTTAACTAGGCTTTGTACACATCAGGCACATATATAGCAACATTAGCATTCATTTGGAGTCACGTTTCACCACTCATCTTTTAGCTCTGTTTTTGGTCTCCACCAACTTCCAAAAGAAATATGTGTAACTCCAATGAAGTGATTTCTTGTAGATTTATGACTAAATTACAAAACAACTAGTCATATGATCTATTGTGCTATATAAACATTGGGAAAGTGAAAGCTAGCTAACCTAGCTTGCTAATTATAACACAGTTTGGTGCTTGTCATTTTGTTAGTGTTTATTACTTGTCTGTTTTCGATGAGCCCAATTGTGGTGATGACCTCAGTGGTCTATACACTGATTTATTTTACATGACATGAGTTACATATGCGTTTCTAGCTAAAGTTTGTGTTTTAACAGCAAAGCAGTGTGCGAGCTCCACCACGGCCCATTTTTTTCCACTTTTGGTTTTTAGACACGACAGATTTATCAAGCATTTGATTTCACTTTTATTTATCCTTATTCCTACTAATAAGAGTATGATTAAAAACAATGAGAAAATAAATAAATAGTAGCTGCTGTTGCCGTCTTTCAGCACCACAGATGGTTCAGTTTGTTCTTCTGTTATGTTTTATGGCGGCTGGCATCGAGATATTTTTTTTTTGTTTTTTTTCTTTTCTTTTTTTTTCTGGCCGTTGAGTTAAAGTGAGTGAGTTTTATGATACTGCTCCGCCAAGCTTGAATGGTGATGGCAGGAACAGCATGCATGCCACTCTCTTTAATAGAGTGAATTAATGATGAAGCACCCGCATGCATGAATCATACATCAATAATAGCCTAATTTTACTCGTGATTCATGAAGACACAGAAAAAAATAGAAATGCACTGTAAAAACAGCACAGTGTCGATACTTTGGAGACCCCTCCAGAATTTTCACAAGTCACGCTGTCATGGGAGTTCATGTTTTATTGAGAGAAGCCAAGCACCTCTTGGTTTTTCCTGTAGATCGCACACTGAGGTAACGACAAAGCCCCGGGAGTGATAAACATATCTGTCGGCTAATGAATCACAAGAGCAAAGGTCTAAAATTGCTCCTGAATGTCTGAATCTGCAAAAATGGACAACAATAATTCTACTTTGGCATTGATCTGTCTAGTGTTAAATCCTTTGGGTGGCTCCGTCCTGATTATTATCACCCTTCAAATTACAAACAAACAAAACAAAACTGTTTGCATTTGCTTGTTTATATATAAATATAGATATTTGGGGCATATGATACTAACTCAGAGTGCGCCAATATGATGTCAATAGCAGTCACTGGACACAACTTCAATTAGCACATAGTCAATTGAACAATGGATGTTTTTTCTGTTAGCCTATATGGTCAATTTTATGTTGAGGATGGCGATGTTTAGGAGAAGAGGACTGATACTCGGTAAAGATGTGGAAAGACTAGAAAAAATGTTCCTTGTTGTCCTTTTAAAGTGTAACTAATCTGTATTTGACTTCTCAGAGTTTCACCAATAAACATCAATACCCGCAAAACAGTGTTTCAGAGCTGGTCAGAAGCACTGAAAAGAGGCACTTTTTCCTGCTCCAGCTTTGAAAAAGGTGTGTTTTTTTTTGTAGTTGTGAACATGCACAAAAGCCCTGAAGATCCTGCAGTTGAACACTACTTAATGCTTCAGAAAGCATACTTGAACAATCAGTGATGCCTCACTCAGAAAGTTCCTGAACCTTCAGAAAGTACTACCCCTAAAGCAGGGACTTGCCGGAGGGTAATTTAGACCTTAGTTCAAAAAAAGTAGGCAGTTTCTCAAAAGGTTCCCATTCCCCATAGAAAAAAACCCCTGCACCTAGAGGAACCAAAGGCTGACACCCACTGAAAAACTCTAATGTCACCGTGCTTTCCAGGGAAATAAATATAAAGCCCTCGTCTTAAGCGGTTTGAATACATGTGCCCGACGCCGCACGCTGCTCCATTCACCATAGAGATGCACTTTCGTATTTGTACGCCAGATACCTAAAGTGCCGTGGCAGGAGAAGCCCATTCCAATTAATCCATATTTTATGAGGCTGTCAACCTTTTTCTCTGCCACCCCTCATCTATTCTCTGTCCTCTCACCCGGAGAGCTAAAGAGCGTCAGAGATCAAAGCATAGGTGCTGTCACCCCTTAAAGAAAGAGAGAAAGAGGACGAGACAAGTAGACAGGCAGAGAGAGAGACTGGATACTTGTGTGATTTACTCTCTCTGTCTTGTCCCACCCTCTACTCTTTCCCTCTGCCACTCTGTCTCAAATAAAGCCGAAGATGAGAAGTGAAGAGGGCCCTCTCAATGGCTTTCAACTTCTTTAATTCCTGTTTTCCCCAGCTGCCTAAACACCAACCATTAATCCACTTTCTTCTCTTTCTTTTTGCTGTCTCTTGCTCTTATCAGTCTCTGAGAGGAGTCAGAGGCATAGTGGTGGTAGATAACATATCACTTTTGTTTTATTACATTAAAAAAAAAAGCTCTACTAAGGAGGGGAAAGGTTGGCCAGAGGGGAGGGGGTGTTCAGTGAAAAGAATGTATCTGAGCATGACTGATGAAACAGGGGGGGTTTTGGCGATGGGGGCTGATGCACAGTCTAGCGAGCATAGTTTTCTTATGATGTACTTTATGGCATTGGCAAATAAGCAAAACAATAATGAGGATGACCGCTGAGATTGTGGGAAAGAGTGGGAGGAGAGGAAGAGGCTACCAACAAAGGAGAGATGATGATGATGAGGAGGTGAGGAAAAATGAAACGCTACGACTTGCTACGTCCTCACATGAACCGCTGCAAAGAGTGCAACGAAAGTCCTAAGTAGGTATACGCCTCTAATGTTGAGAGTTTGTTACGTGTGTGGGCTGGAACGCCCGTCCATTAGTGGTATGTCAGCCTGCATTGAAAATAAGCAACTCACAAAGTCTTGAAACCTCATCTGTCTTTAAAAAAAGAAAAAAGAAAAAAAGACATCACGTTGATCTAAACTATCTCACCAAAAAGGCATATTTCTTTCACAGGCTTTCAGGGAAAAACAGACGGAATAGAAAATGCAGCAGCTCAATAATTTAGTTTTCATACGGTACAAAAGTATCCGCTTTGCAACATTATACCTCCGCCTGGAATCCCTCGACCAAGATGGCCACCAGCAAGTTGAACAGGACGTAGTTGCCAAAGGTCATGAGAGCGATGAAGTAGAGGGCGGCCACGGGAGTGGTGGAGGCCATGCCGTTGTACAACACCTTGTTCCAGTCCTCCTGGGTTAGGATCTGTTAGAGAGCAGGAAGGGGTTTAAGGGAAATGACACACTATTGTTTAGCGATTGTTCAAACAGTTTAATAGCACTTGATTCAGAACTGACGGCATCACATAGATACTGTTTCAACACTTGTCAAGGTACATATGAGTTTTGTCCCAAATCAGGGGCCGCACTCTTTGGAGGACATGACCAACAAAGGTAACGTCTTGGATGTAGAGACTGAACCAAATGTTGGTAAATGAATATATAAACATAGCGATAGAGAGAATATACAGTGCTTAACAAATTTATTAGACCACCACCCAATGCAGTGTTTATGCTACAGCTGCCCTAAATTAACAGCATTGGTAATTACCAAAATAATGTTTTATGTTTCTGTAATGCTTAATGCACCAGGATGTAGAAGCTCTTTAACCAAAGTTATATTTTTAATGGTAAAACACAATTATTATTGTGAGGTGGCTCAAATTTGGGTACAAAAAACAGGAATTCAGTTTGAAATTCCTTATTCCTGTTCAAAACAGTAAAACATGATTTCATGATGCTGGATGGTCGATCTATATGCTTTTTTCGTTTTGACAAAATGGAGCTGCAGATTTTGATTTTAATAGTTTTTGTTTGTTTGTTATATCTTATATTGGAGGAAATGGAGATTACTTGCATTTAAAAGTGGCATCTTTAGTCGCCAAAGTTCTGCCTTATTCTCAAAAATCCAACCATCACCATCACACAATGAATCTTGGAAAACTACAAAGGATCCAATCCAATTTTAAAAGCAACTGGTCCTTGATATTGAGCAGAAGTAACAAGAACAGGCTTCTCATTTCGAGCTGGCAACATGTCTTTTTTATTTTTTTTGCTGGCTTAAATAACCGAATTTGTCTCTGTTGTCATTACCTTGCTAGTTAGCTACTTAGATATTGTTAGCTCTTTGAGTTGGTTGAAAATACTGTCTCGAGCTGCCTTAATGTAAAATTAGATTCCTCTAAGAGGTTAAAAAAAAAAGAAAGGAAATTGCACCAGACGTTCATATGCTGTAAATAATATCAAGCTAATATAGTGAGAGTAATAACTAGGTAGTACAAACACTGTATTTCGCCTGTTGTGTATGTTTGTTTGTTTGTTTGTTTTTAACGTAGCCTTAAAGACCAGAAACTAATCTTCCTAGGTAATGACATGTGCAATGGTTTGGCTTGGAATTAACACTCAGCTCTACTCAAGGCAGTCCCAGCTAGCCAAACATAGTATTGCCAGATTTGTTTAAGTTTTTTGATTAAGTAAACCAGTTATCTGAAAATTTTGTTTCTTCTAAGTAATCATTGCTTGACTTTTCTAACATCACCAAGGCTTCAGTTTCTTACAGGAATCATTTTAGAGGACTGTGATTTGTCTTAGAATATAGAGAATAACACAAGATACGCTCCCCATTTTCACAAAGACGGATGAAAGAAATGTTGTGTTCATACCTGATTATAATTTCAGCTCTAAGGCCCTCTTACAAAGCTTTAAGTCTGACTAACATCGTAGGTTTCAAATATATATCAGTCTTTAAGCTATGACTTGCAATATTTCAGCGGTTGTGTGTTGATAAAATGCTTTTCATTTGAAAAAACACAACACTAAAAGCTTTCTTCACTATATAAATTGAACCAGTGAGGCTACATTCAGACTCTGCATGAGAACAGACATGTAAGTATGTTCTGCACAGGGAGACATGCTGACACTTTACATAATCCCAGATCAGATGTTCCACTAAATTATACATAGTTACTATATAAAGAGGGGTATGTGTTATACAGCACGCGATGCAGAAATGATGGATGAATGGTTGGACCCCACAGAGGGACTTTTAGTTCATTCATGAATCCAAGCTGGAGTAATGCAAGAGGCAAGCCTATTTAACCTGTGTCAGACACTTGGAAATGGAAATTAGATGAGAGGAGGAAAATGAGGGAGGTGGATAAAGGCTAGTCTTGGAGGGAGGAAAAGGGGGTAGCAAAGTGAAGAAGAAAATTTGATTTGATATATTTTATTTATTCAGGAGGAAATTGTCTTTTCAGGCTCTGAACAGGGACAGGCTCAGTCATCACCGATGAAGCAGAAAGATCTGAGGCTAGTTGCTTGAGGGCTTTCCAGCAGATACAGTTTGATCACATAGGAAGCTCAGACTTACAAACGGGAGACAAACATGCATTCCTTTAGGTCATCCTGTTGCTAGAGTTTTACTTCCTTAACAAACTGTGAAGTAAATTGGCCGCAACACTGTCAGATGTGAATATTTAACATAAAGAGAAGAGGGTTCACGCTCACCTGGAAGACTGTCACTATGGCCCAGAGGAGAGAGTCAAAGTTCTTCCTGTCAGGCAGGGTGTCTCCGTCCCTCTCCGACCCAAACTTACAACCAAACAGATGCATCCCCAGGATACTGGGGGACGGGAGAAAACAAACAGGAAAAGGACGGATAAATGTTTACATCAGGCCAACCAATTAAATACCATACAAATAAACAAAAATGATTTGCTGAAAAGATTTGTTTTCCTGCTTGTGAAAAAGGCACAACAATGGTAACTTCAGATTGTCATGCAAAGACTTTCACTGACTACGAATATTGTGACCAGAAAAAGCCACATTTGTAGGAGCAGACATGGAGCGCAGTCAGTTACTGGGTCACATCGGTTGGCCTGCGATGCATTCAGGCAGCTGCCAGGAAGGGAATGGTGATGGAGAGCAGGTTAAGTTCAGCACCATGGAGAGCGTCACAACCCGTGGCAGTGACACCTCATGCATTTTGTAAGATCGCTGGCATATGATTTATCTCCACTGTTTGGGAAATTGAAGGATTAGTTCAACAGTATGTGATTTTTTTCCTGGACTAAGAAGAAAAACTAATCCATATCCATGGACTTTTAATGGAGGGAGATTAGCTTAGTTTAGCATAGTATAAACACTGGAAATAAAGGAGAAGGCTAGCCCGGCTCTGTTACAAAATCAACTTGCTAAAACCTCCAAAGCTTACTAACTAGCTTGTTGCAGCTTATTAGTTACACAACCAGAGTTGGGAACAAACAATTTTGGGTTTTAGAGGGGAAGCTTTGTGTTCTAACAGTATCCTGGTTAAAAGAAGTCTGTCCATCCAGGTAAATGTGAAATGGTCTGCACATATATAGCATCTTTACAGCTTAGTGGTACCTTGAACGAACATTTGTCAATCTAAAACTAAAAAACTGAATTAGATTATTTTGACTCTGATCACTTCTGGTTGAGCTTCATATTTAAAACACAAACATGAAAATGGTATCAGTCGTTTCAGCAAACTCTCAGGATCAAAAATCAGATGGGCACATTTCCGATAATGGTTTTGAGAAGTTATTTTTATGCTAGACATTAGGAGCTCATTTTACCCTCGGAAAAGGACTAAAGTAAACTTGTTAGCTCTGTAAATTTATTTTAAGCATCAACACTTAGTCCGAGTAGTGCACCTCTTAAACGGGCAATCAGTAGACGAAAATCCATCCATTATATACACTGCTTCATCCTCACTAGGGTTGCGGGGGGGCTGGAGCCTATCCCAGCCAACTTAGGGCGAAGGCAGGGGACACCCTGGACAGGTCACCAGTCCATCACAGGGCTACACTTAGAGACAGACAACCAAGCACATTCACATTCACACCTACGGACAATTTAGAATCACCAATTAACCTCAATATGTTTTTGGACTGTGTGGGAGGAAGCCGGAGAACCCAGAGAGAACCCACGCTGCACGGGTGCAAACTCCACGCAGAAAGTTTCCGGTGCCCCCACCGGGACGCAAACTGGCGACCTTCTTGCTGCGAGACAACAGTGCTACCAACTGCGCCACCCTGCAGCCCCAGTAGACGAAAATGTTCACAAAAATGTATTTCTCGGGATTCGTGGGGAGTAGAACTGGACAGTTTCATCTGCTGACTGTAACGTTCTTTTAATCATGAACTATTTTAAAGAATGAACCTCAGATAAACTTCACATGTTTATCGTAATCCATCATGCACTGCCATCAAAAAAGGGTCTGATTGGCCTCGAATTCATTCTGCAGCGTGACAAGAAGCCCAAACATACCGAGTCAAAGTGATTTATCTTCAGCCACAAGAAGAGCAAGGAGTCCTGCAATAATGCCCGGATCAACCACAGAGTCCTGATCTGCACGTCATCAGCAATACAGTACTGTACAATATATGTCTAACAGATTAGCAGGAACAATGCAGAGAAACACAATAATGCTATGCTATGCTACCTCAGACAGCTAATCGGGGGTGTTATTATTATGAACCAGCAGTGCGTCTGCATTGCAGTCTGCCTTTTATTCAGAAACACAGACACTGAAGCTCAACTGGAGCTGAGGGATCAATGAACGAGCCTCCGCTGTGTCAACTTGGCAACTCTTCACTCAAACCAGGGGCTGTTTATCTATGCATATACAAGGCCCTTGGAACTGTGTGTGTGTTTGTGTTTGTGTGTGTGTGCTGGAGCACCCTCACATACATGCGTCCACATATACACACAGAACCTACAAGCTGCAGAAATTGCGGCTCAGATAAATCTAACACACATACACACAGACAGGCTGTTTAACCATCTTTTTTTCTGTTGTCTTTATAAAAATCACCAAAATACCAGCAATTATCAGAGCAAGAAACTGTATAAACAGAAACAATCATCAATTTCCCGACTGTCCCTGAACCAATTATGTGTAACATACAGTTCTGTTGAAAAATGTATTCAAATCTGAGCTTAAAGTTGTGACATTTCAACAAAAGCACTTTGTTCTACATTTCCTGTTTAAAAATTCACAACAAATAGAGTGTTCACTCTCACCGGATTCTGTAAAAAAAGTGAAAATTCTGGACTCCTCTGACTAACTGGAGCGCATTAGTGACTTAGCTGCAACCAACTGTCACAAAAATTCGGGGATTCTTTGGCTGAAATGCCGTCTGTGTTTACACAGTGCAGACTGGAGACAAATCAAATGTATGAAACATTAAATTTAAAATGTAGTAAAATGTCTAACACCTGGAAAAATGTAATTCATGTTGATTGTAGGTTTGTTTTAATTGTTGTAAAAGAGCAAGTCAACAAAATGTATTTTTTGTTTTGTCTTTTTCATTATGTATGGCTTTATTTGTGCGTCATATGGCACAAAAAAAATAAAAATAAAAAATATTGTGTCCTCTCTCCTTTAGCCATGGTTGAGCTGTTTCCATGGAGGTGCAGGATTTTACATTATGGTTAAAAATGAGCCCACAGTAAGTGAAAATGTGACGGGAGCAACACATGCCCAGAAACAGCATTTCCCAGGGTTAAGCAAAAAGAGGGCTTACAATACAAAGTAGCACATCTATTCAGTTTCCTATTTACTGATCAGGCGTGTGTTTGTGTATCAGACAAGTGCTGAGAACCTCTGAGAACACAATTGTATTTTTGTTGAGCTCAGCCACCGAGCCTAACAAGGCAGAAAAAAGCAATGCTGACTAAAAGAGGAAATCACTTAGTCTTGTCATTCCATCAATTCATCTCTGCTACTCAGCGCTCCTTGTTTCTCATGTAGAAGCTACCATGTACTGATCTACCAATTTACTTCCATTCCACACCTCTGTGCTTCCAATTCCACTGAGAGAGCTTCTTCCACGGTCACAGATTGAACTCTCTTTCCCGTTTTTCCTTACTTTGGTGTTCCTCCATTAGCAACATGAAATGGACCGTTCCCCCAATGTGTATTTATACAGGTACATACATGTCGTTGCAGTGTGAGACAGGCCTACCTGAAGATGAAGATGAAGAGCATGAGGAGCATGCAGAAGGTGGCCACGTTGTCCATGGTCTTCATCAGCACCACCAGCTGCCTCTGCAGAGCCGGCATGAAACGGACCAGCTTCAGCACGCGCATCAGCCGGAAGGTCCTGAGCACCGACAGACCTCCATCCTGCTGACCCACGATCTCCCACACACTGACCGAAGGGAACAAAAACACAACTCATGTTATATCCGAAGCCTCGTGAATCGCTTTCAAGTCAGACGGCCAAAATCCCTCATCAGTAATCTCAGATCCCAGACCGGGCCAAGTGTCAAGGATCCCCGCTGCTTGTGCTGTATCCATTTTCACCATTTCCAAACATGATGTGTTCCCAGAGCTGGAGGCTCGAACCACGCTGACGTAACTGCAGTCCAGTCATGCACAGTAACGTTCTAAAAACAGACAACTCATAGTGTTAAAATACTAAAGTTATGAAGCAATGTAAACACTCCTTACAACTTTGCAACAATGAGCTGCATTTCAATTATTTACAGTTTATAAATGATTTCTTAGTTATTAAGTTTTACTGCATTTAATAACTGAAATGTAATTCATTTATTCATGTGGCAACTTGGGGCTAGTAAAGCAAGCAGTAAACAAACCACCGATCTCGACCGTGTGATCTTATGGATGTTTTAGCAAACAGTTGCTACACATTGAGCAATATTAGCAATCATTTGAGTCATGTTTAGTCACCACAAGGATGTAAATCATATGTTTGCTCTCCTTTTAGCTCTATTTTGGTCTCCACCAACTCCTAAGGGAATAATAGCTTGTCGCACCACTATATTCACCAAGTTCTCGTTAGTAACGTTGTCTGACTGTTGTTTAACATTGTGCTAGAAGATAATTCAATCAGACTCATGACAGTGGAGCAAAACAGTGATGTTTTGGGCTGTAAAACCAAAAGAAAGAGCTGAAAGATGCTAAAAGTCTCCATGGAGGTAAGTTGGAATGCAGTCTGGTGACAATTCTCAGTGGGTTTGATTGCTAGAAGTGACACCTTGAACCTTTTTTTCAGTATCAGAGTAATACAGAGAATCCTTAAAATTATTATTTAGTCAATATTGCAGTTAACTAAATTTGTCATTTGCTAGCTCTTAGCACAACATCTCTCAATAAACTAACATTCAAAGCATTTAAAATTAAATTAATGCACTATTTGTAGTTATAATTACTTGATTATTTGTAGTTATAACCAACACTAAATTACAAAAACTCTTTAAAAAATGATATATCCTCCTTCCTAAGCCATTTACACTGTTATAAAAAATCATTCATTCCCACTGCAGTAACCACTCTTAATAGCCGGAAATGAACACTTTGCTGTTTTTAACTGCCCCTAACGTCCTTTTAATTATGGCTGTACTTGTATGTTGTTTTAAATGTGTTTGTTTTTATGCCTGTCAAAGAAAAATTTCTGTCACTTGTGACAGACAATAAAGTTGATCTTATCTTATCTTATCTTATCTTAGCTGTTATTCCTGTTATTTCCCATTTACCCCATGTGAACCCGTCACAAGTGACAAACTTCAAAATGCATTTCTTCATTTTAGTGAGCTCTCCTGGCTTGCTGTGGTAGACTAACAGGTCACTTTTGTTCAGCTTGTACCTGCCAATTCCCACGGTTAGAAAATAGAAACAATAAAACATTTATTGGAGAAGTCATTATTCTGGTAGTGTGTCATCACCGTATTTTCTACAACACTGCGCTAACAGACTACAAACCGTAGCATCGCTCACAGGCTGTTTTTAATTTCTGACCTTTTCTTTTTTGCTACCCACGTTAGAATACCAGTGATATTATAATGTTTTTTCAGGGGTTTGGTTTGAGTCAGTTCTGTGGAGTGGAATGCGGTTGTACGTTTAGGCTTTGTATTTACTAATTTCCCTCAGGGTTCATTACAACCCTACGTTTTACTTGTATAATAATGTCCACGGGCATGTACAGAGCTGTGAAACCCCCTTCTGTTTTCCTCTATTTTTGTTTGTATCTCATGTTGTGTAACTATGTCAGATCTTCCAACTACAGCCGAGTAAACACAAAACACGAGTGTTAAATGATAATTGTATTTACTGAAGCAAAAGGATGATCTAATACCAACTGTGCCTGCTACTAAAAACCAAAGAACTACAAAAATGCATTGAAATCCGTTGGACTAGACACACCCAGGCCTGATTACTACCAGTTCTCTTCCACCAAATCATCCCCTAAATAGACCATTTTCAGAAGCATGAAGTCAGCTGAAAGGTCTCAGTAGTAGCACACTGTGCCAAAATCAAAATTCCAGGAGAGATGAAGAAGAAGGTGATTGAAATACATCAGTCTAGGAGGGGTTACAAAGGCTCTGGGACTCCACAGAGCTGCATTTAGAGATAATATCTGCAAATGGAAGACTTAGCTAAGTCAGAGACAGTCAAAATCCCACCAGAGTGATGTAAGAGACTGATCTGTAGGTATGAGAAGAGTTTGGGTGCTGCTGCTAAAGGTGGCAGAATAATCCCTTACATTCATAGGGAACATTACTTTTTGACATTGACAGTGTAGGTCTTGGATTTTGCTTCGGTGAATAAAATCCTCTGTTAAAACTTGTATTTTGTGTTTCCTAAAGTTTGTTTTATGTTAGATTTAGTTTGAAGATCTGACAGAGTTTAGAATGAGCCGAACTCAGGAGGGGGTCGAATAATTTTTCACAACACTGAATGGGGCCTTCGGGGTATTTGTTTCCAGCGGCATTGTGGTAAATATAGAAACAGATGGAAAAACAGGATGTATTTCATGTTGCCAGGGAGTCCTTACCTGATGACTACGATTATGCCATCGAAGACGTTGTAGGGGTTCTTGATGTAGCCGAAGGGTCCGTAGACCAAAACCTTCAGCAGCATCTCCAGAGCGAACAGGCTGGTGAACACAATGTTACTGATCTCCAGGGCATTGGTCAACTCTTCCGGCTGCAGAGACGAAAACAAAAAGAAGGAGACATTAATGGATTATTACAACAGACCCTTGTATTATAGGGGATAAAACCTGAAAATTGGAGATGCAAGAGGTTCGTATGTGCATCACATGTGCACAAAAGGCAATATGTCAATGACTAAATACAATTTAAATATGACAAATCAATCACACGTATCACATACAGCGAACACATGCAACCTTTATCGCACACCGGGACACCCGTTGATCACAGCGTTGACACGCAACGTCTGCTCAAAGCTCATCAGAGGATCGCACTGCCATTGGCATCTCGATCAAACAACCGGTGTGTGTCTGCATGTGTGTGTGTGTATGTGTGGAAGCATTTGAGCGCAGAGAGAGAGAGAACAACAGGCAATGAGAACAAGCAGACAGACAAGAGCAAAAGAACACGAGCTTAAAGATAAAAGGCGCGGCGCATCCGAATGTGACACGGTATGTAAATCAGACTTCTATAGCGAGTATCCGTAATTATCGGCGAGGAGAAAAGAGCCGGTGGGAGTGCTGTTAAGTGTCTGTGGACTGTGTAACACCTCAGACAGGCTTCATGAGGCCTTTCATCTCCGTGCAGTAAACAGTTTACACAACTCGAACGCGGTGTCACACACACACTGACATGACGCAGAGGACGGAAGGCGTTGAAGGCCTGATCTGGGTTCGCATGTTCCCTATCATAAGCATGTGTGTGTGTAGCTGCGTATCTCGATATTATGCTCAGCGCGTATAAATAGAGCGGTCGTCCCGGCAGAAGCATTATCCCCAGGCTGAACCGGGAGGTGATGTAATGTAATGTAAACACAGTGTGTGTCATTAGACCTGTCCTGGTGGGCTGCCACTAATCACTACACACCATGACTGTTTAAGCAGCGATTACTCAACACTAGCATGGATACACACAGAAAGGAATACAGAGATTAGCATCACCAGCTGAATAACAGCTCCTTGTGATGCATTATGGCACCAGTTTGTCTCGAGTCCTTAAGCAACAGTCAGTCGGTCATTGTGAAATAGTGTCGCCGCTGGTGTTGTTACACAGCGTTCACGTCATGCAGTGTGGGTAAGATGGTGGCTACAGCGTCCCCAGGGGCATTAAATTCCACCTGTATGTCTAATAGTACGGCAGTCGACCTTGTTTTGTTTTTGTCTTTTAAGAAAGAAAAGGAGAATGAGGCTCTTTGTATTATGTGAGTTACATGAGCAGATTGCTGTCATATCTGTCCAATCAATTAGCTTGGTTTAACACAGACAGTTTTGAGCATGGCCGTATTCCATAGAATGGTAAACAGAAACTAGAAATAAGCTATATACCCTTTTAATTGATGAACTTTAATCTGATTCTGAAGTGCCCTCAGCTGCAGTTCCTTTAATGGCCACTTGAGACTTGCTCCACAAGTGAGTAAACCCCAAAGAGCCCCATGTTAAATTGTCCAACTTAACAGTGGAAAATAAACATGTTTACAACGTGGTACAGCTTTGTTCTCTACACATAATCACCCCTGTAATGACAACTGTACAGGGGGTGAATTTTAATAGAGCTCCCCTGTTTAGTTTCTGATAAGGTTTAAAGCTATGTATACCGAAGAGTGTGGTGGTTTAGATTGGCAGGTGGGTGGTGTTTTAGGATAGTTCACTTCAGCATTCTGCCTTTTTACTCATTTTTGGATAAGCTGGGAGTTAAGATGAGTCAGACACTACCAAGACAAGCCCTGCCAGAGCCGCCGCAGCAAGCTTCAAAACTGAGGTTTGGAAAAACCTTTGTAGGATGCCCTGAAGGGTTCGCCCATCCTTACGCACAGTATAGTATAACCTACAATTGCAGCAAAAAAGGCCTCTCTAGAGCTAGTGTTTTGTTTGTCTATTCTGGGGTCCTGTAGAAATATGGTGGTGCAAACATGGTGGTCTCCATGGAAGAGGACCTGCCCCCTCTATAAATGCAAAGGGCCCATTCTAAGATATCGGAAACACAACAATTATTATTTTCAGGTGGCTGTATGCTACTAGAAACATAATTATGAATAATACATTACATTTCTGTCAATAGATTCTCCTAAATCATAGACAATGATTCTTAAAAAATAGTTTCAACCGGAAAGGGCAGGGAAACTGGTATTAATTTCCTCTTTAATTTAATCTAAAATAAACTAAAGCAACAATTTACGTAACAACAGCATGTCAGCAAAGTGAACTTTTTAAATCTAAAAGCTGAAATCGGTCATTTACTCAGCGCATGTATGTGTAGTGAAACAAAACCAGTCAAAAGCATCCACCATCAACAGAAAACTTCAGTAAGAGGATCTTGACAGCATATCTGAGCGTAAAGGAGTAAACACTTACAAGTCGTTGCTTGGTATTAAGTCATTATTCCCACAAGACATGGATTTAACAAGAGGCCCAAAAGCAAAGATAAGCGTCCAACAACACCAAGACCTAATATTGTACCACAACTCACAGCCTAAAGCTTCAAAACTGAATTTCACCGGCTTTTGACAAGTTACTCCACTTGCTGTGACTCACACCTGCATGACAAAATAGGTTGTAATTGGCTTTCAAATGACCCATATGATCTGTATGAAAATGATTCACATGAGCGTTTTCAGATTTGCCGTTCATGTGGTTGAATTTTTTTCTGACTGAAACTACTGAAACCAACATTGACTGTTGGTAAGAGGAGTGAACTGCAACATTCAGGGTCAAACTAAAACTATTTATATCGAAACAGGCAGAGCTGGATTGAACCTGCTCGGAGTCCTGGGGCAAACAGGAATTGTGGGCCCCTATGGACTCCCTGTTCTTCCCACGTCTGGATCCGCACCAATCCTCTGTTTTATTTTGCCCAGGGCCCTGGAAACCCATATTTCTTATGCTGGAATACTATCTTGCACAACATTTGCTGTGTGTCAAGTAGTGTATAAGGAAGACTTACGTAAGCACAATATTAGATCAGCATATTAGCATTAACACCCAATATTCTTGTTTATGTTCCATAAATCAAAGAATTAGAGTTACACACTGCCAAGTGTTGTGTATACCACTGAAAACTTAGATTCTTGAGTTACTTTGACATACACCACCTACTTAAACACCGTTACAGACCAAGCACACACCCCATCCATGACAACAGCATTCCCAGCAGGGCGATACACCACATCACACCAGAAAAACTGCTCAGAAACGGCACAAGGAACATGACAAAGAACCCATGGCAGTGACCCAACCTCCATACTCCCGAGATCCCAATCTAATCACGTGTCTACGGGATGTGCTGGAACAAGCCTGATCCACAGAGGTCACACTTCTAAACCCAAAGGATCCACTGCCAACATCCTGGTGCCAGACACCACAGGACACCCTACAGAGGTGCTGTGCACAGGCCTCAAGGACTCAGAGCTGCGGTGGCGGCATAAGGGGGACCTACACAATGTTAGACAGTAGTGGCAGATCTCGAACATGCTCAGCACCCAGCTATACAGACATATATTTGAAGAACTAATGTTGTTGTCAGTTTTTGAGTAGCACTCTATAGGCATGATTCAAAGACAAGCCGATACAGTGTTCTTATCCTCTTGATTTGTGACCTGAATGATAATAGTTTTATTAGTGTGAGCACTATCAGTAGCATGCCTGCTATGTTAAAATGACTCTGTAGAGAACAGAGAGGAGGGCGCCGTTGTTTAAAAAAGGAATAATTTGCCCACAGTCTGCAGTGCAGCTCCTGCCAGTGAAGCCCGCTTCCTGAAAAACAAGCTTTTCTCCGTTTCATCTCGCCTCTTTGTCATTGTCTCTTGTGTCTGTCTCTGGGTTCACAGACACAGATGAACCTATTCGTTTGATCCCGCTGCTTTATTGTGCCCATTCATTTGTACAGTGACGAGCGCGGCGGTGGCGGCGGCAAATCCTTCATGTGCACTCACACACACACATTGTGTGATTAAGGAAGGTTCAAAGGGTAAACAAATGCACTTAGATGTTTGTGTGTTCTTTCAGATGAATGCCCTCACACACAGCTATGTAGAAACAGAGACACACTTGCAGGTATATCCAAAGTTATATTAATAACCATCACACACCCACAGGCCACACACATAAACCCACACATCCAGCTCCAGTCTCATTACCATGTATGCACACGGTTCTGTACACACTCACACCTATATCCATGCATGTAAACACACACGTACAGCTGCATAATAGATGCGGTTGATAAGCCAGAAACAAGAAGTACACTTTTTATGAGGTGAGACTTGGACTGCAGACATCTGGTCTTGAGGCTGAGGTTCAGGTCATTATTTTTCCCCCACTGTTTCTGCTCTGCTATTGTTCCAGCTTGTATATTAGACATTCCTCAGACATCATGCAAGATTACTGCAAGAGAAAGAAACCGCAAAAGCCGTTCTCACACAAAGAAGTGAACGCAGGAACACATGAGACACGGAGGTTTGAAAAACACACACACACACACGATTGCGTTACCAAAGGTTTGCAGCCATTAGCTTATCAAACACTAGAAATCTCTTAATTGACTAATGGCCAGCGAGGTGTGCGTACTACCTAGAGGGAGATTAATGCGTCCACGTGCGTGAGTCTGTAAGTGAGAAAGACGCTCTTGCTTTTCTAATTGCTTCCTTCAATGGCTGTTTCCTGGGTAATGAGGCTGGAGGAGCATTAGGAGGTAAAGTGTGTTAGATGAGGAATAGTATAATCTGGTTAGCACTAATGTAATGTCACCTAATCTGATGTGATCTAATCTAAACGGGATGCCGCACTCTGCTCCAGACTGTCAGTGATGCAGCACTGTGTCTGGTATATATGTGTGTGTGTGTGTGTGTGTATGTGTGCACGCTAGTTTAATCAAGCGGTTTTCTTAAGCATGCTACAGAGGAGGAAATCTCCAGCATGAAATGGAGAATGATACACTCACAAACTCACTCCGAGGTTGGCTTTGATTTAATAATAATGTTGAGGATGGCTGATGCCT